GGGGGGGGGGGGGGGGGGGGGGGGCGGATTTGATTTGGTAATTGAGGATTTCGTCATTGGAAATCCCGAGACTATTAAGCGGATTCAATTAATTTCATGGCTTTTTTGTTCAATCAAAAATTCGACGTGTTGATTTCTTGCGTTTTTATGAGTTTGAAATTATCGCAATAACAAGGGGTTTTGGGGAAAATTATTAGTTAAATAATTTGAATGTAACGCGCGGGAATTCATAGAGCATTTTCGTTTTTGATCGCTAGGGACTTTGGTTTTAATATTTTTAGATTGTGGAGATAATTTTTTTTATTGCAATTTTCGAGAGGGTGAAATCATTATTCATTAATTGGGTTTTGTAAAGATCTTTCGCAGGTCCTTTTATTTTTGTTTAGCCCAAATTTTCAATTTTTAACACATTTCTGATTGAGTGATCTCGATTTTAAGCATCGGAAAATGAGGTTATGCCTTATTCCAGTGCTGCCAATGCATTTTCGTTTTTCATCGCTAGGGAATTTGGTTATAATATTTTTAGGTTGCGGAGATAATTTTTTTTATTGCAATTTTCGAGAGGCTGAAATTAATTTAATTAATTAATTAATCATGAATTGGGCTTTGTAAAAACTTTCCCAAGTTCTTTTCATTTTTTAGCCCACATTTTCAATTTTTAACTTATTCCTGATTGAGTTATCCAATTTCTTTAAAAAATTGATGTACTCTTATTCTTTGTTTAAAGAATTTATGTTCAAAAATATTTTTTACTATAAACAATAACTCTTATTTGACCCCCATATGACTTTCGTGACCCTTATTTTGATCCTCGTGAACCCTAAAAATTTTTGCGTTGTCTTAATTTACAAAATTATTTTATAAATAGATTTTCTACAGGAGTTTCTCGTCACTTCACATTTTTCTTCTCACGAGAACAATCAAACAGAAGGAAAAATTTGAGCCGAGGAATTTCTATAGAAAAATACCAACAGAATAAATTGTATCGAAAAATCAAATTCTATCAATTTTTTTCGACAGAATATTTCCATTTACTTTAGACCTTGGAACATTCACAAGGTTTGAGTGTAGGACTCGAAAAATTCATAGACAATTATCGCGTTCTCCTGCAGAACGTGGAAAATCGAAAAGTGAACTTTCGGTTTCTGCGAACTCGGCACATTGTCCGATGTATCATCACGACATTCGCGAGTATTTAGTAACGCAGAAGGCTCGTGCGGTGAATACCTTGTCGTGAAAAACGTGCGTACAACAGGTAAATGAGGATCCCCTCTCCACTGAGTCGACTCCCTCCTATATAAGAGGGCCTCCGGCTCTCCTCCCGATTCTTCAGTTGACCATTTTACCCAATTCACGATAATATAACTGACCAACAAAGCTCATTGATTGATTGAGCATCATTTGAAATCGTTTCATAATTTTATTTGAAATTTCAATCATTCGAGATCGTTTCATCAATCATGAGAGCTGTCGTGATTTTGTGTCTGCTCATTGGTTCTGTGATAGCACAGAAAGCTGGTAAATACGATAATGTGGATGTGGATGCAATTCTCAAGAATAATCGAGTCCTCACGCAGTATATCAAGTGCATGCTTGGGGAAGGATCATGCACTGCTGAAGGACGAGAGCTCAAGAGTAAGTGAATTTGTAATTTAAATCTTGAAAATTGAAAAAGCTAATTTCGCTGATTTTTTGGGGGGGATATCTTGGTAAGGAGTGAGTTTAGAAAAAAATATCACAAGAAATTTTTTGTTGGAAATTTCATCAGCTGTAAAAAAGGTTTTATGACATTTTCTCCTAATACAAGTCCTTTTCGAGATAAATTGAGGATTAGCAATTAGGGGATTAGGAAACCTTAAAAATTGAAGAAGCGAATTTTGCAGATTTTCCGTCGTGAATATCTTGGTAAGGAGTGAGTTTAGGAAAAAATATCACAAGAAATTTTTTGTCGGAAATTTCATCAGCTGTAAAAAAGGTTTTATGACATTTTCTCCTAATACAAGTCCTTTTCGAGATAAATTGAGGATTAGCAATTAGGGGATTAGGAAACCTTAAAAATTGAAGAAGCGAATTTTGCAGATTTTCCGTCGTGAATATCTTGGTAAGGAGTGAGTTTAGGAAAAAATATCACAAGAAATTTTTTGTCGGAAATTTCATCAGCTGTAAAAAAGGTTTTATGACATTTTCTCCTAATACAAGTCCTTTTCGAGATAAATTGAGGATTAGGAATTAGGGGATTAGGAAACCTTAAAAATTGAAGAAGTGAATTTTGCAGATTTTCCGTCGTGAATATCTTGGTAAGGAGTGGGTTTAGGAAAAAATATCACAAGAAATTTTTTGTCGGAAATTTCATCAGCTGTAAAAAAGGTTTTATCACATTTTGTCCTAAAACCAATCGTTTTCGAGATAAATGAAGGATTAGGAATTCGGTTTTAAAGTTGTTACAAAAACTTCAATTTCCCCCAAAATCCCCCAATTCTTGAAGAAAAAGAACAGAAAATTTGAGACAATCGATTCCACAAGTGAATAAAAACAAAACATATTACAAATATCACTCAATCGATTGAGTAAGAGCGAAAGCCTTCTCGGTTGAGTAACCGATGGCTCCATTACGTATAAAAGAAAGTCAAGTGAAGAAAATAAATATTGACATAAACCTGACTACCTGTTGTATAACACAATTGGACACCTCAAATAATGAGAATACTCAACGTCTACGGTATTTCCAGAGGTACTTCCGGACGCCCTGAAGACAAACTGCGCCAAGTGCGACGAGAAGCAAAAATCAACGGCGGAGAAAGTTATCAATCACTTGAGAAGTAACCGACCCAACGAGTGGAACCGACTGGTCGCCAAATACGACCCACAGGGAGAGTACGAAAAACGATTCGAGGCTGCAGCCAGCGCAAAGAACTGAATTATTCCAGTACGATTTTTTTTATACTCAAGAAGTGAAGAATTGAGAAATCACGTTGATCAATTCGTTTTTATTTATTCAATTTAAGTCTATTATATTTTGCTTTTGAATGAACATTAATTGAAATTTAATTCGTTTATTAATTTTCTGAATTTATGAATTTTTTCCAAAATCAATTATCTTAGGATAACGAAAAAATTAAAAAAAATTATTGTCAATATGAATTGACAAATCATGTTGATCAATTCTTTTTTTTTTATTCAATTTAAGTCTATTATATTTTGCTTTTGAATGGACTTTAATTGAAATTTAATTCGTTTATTAATTTTCTGAATTTATGAATTTTTTCAAAAATCAATTATCTTAGGATAACGAAAAAATTAAAAAAAATTATTGTCAATATGAATTGACAAATCATGTTGATCAATTCTTTTTTTTTATTCAATTTAAGTCTATTATATTTTGCTTTTGAATGGACTTTGATTGAAATTTAATTCGTTTATTAATTTTCAGAAGTTTCGAATTTTTCAAAAATCGATTGTCCCCCGATAGCTAAATTTTTTTTGAAAATGATTGTGAACATAAATTAACAAATCACCTTGATCAACTTGTTTTTTCAATTTAAGTCTGTTATATTTTGCTTCCAAATGAACATGAATTAAGATTCAATTCATATATTAAATTTAGAATGTTCGAATTTTTAAAAAATTTCCCTGAAAGTGAATTTTCCGACGGTTTCTTCAGATATGATGTTTCAAATTCATTCAACTATGCGTGAAAAAAGTTTTTCCAATACCATTTTATTGAAGTTTCGAGGTAATATAGATAGCATAATTCTTTCATTTGATTTATACAAGAATTTTCACAAGAAATCTAACACTATTGATTGAAGAAAAAATATAATTCAATTGCACAAGATGATATAAAACAGTAAATGATATACGATCGAAGAAAATTATGCACAAAATGACCATTCAGAAGCATTTTGCTAATTCACTAGCAAAAATAAAGACAAAAACAATTTGCCAATTTGTCAACCCAGGTTCCACTCCCATCGCAGTATTGTTGATTAATTTCATGAATTTTCCCTCAATAATTCCAAGTGTCTTCTCAACTCTCACCTCCATCCACAAACGAAGAGGAGTTCTAATTTTATCCGAAATTATTTTCAGAAAAAATATCCAAAAAACTCACGTCAACTCCAGAAGAAGATGATCATCTCGTCTCATGTCACCAACTCCACTTGTTTTTCAATTTCATGCTGATCAATTGCTGAAACATCGATTTATTGACGATACCATCATTTATAATTAGTCTTAAAATCTTATGCATGTAGTCTCAGTCATTATGAGTCTATAAAATCCATGAAAATGGGAAATTGCGGGCAACAGCATTGGTTTGTGCAGACTATTCCACTCGTCGTTTCTTCACTAGAGATCCAAGCTGAAAAAAATACAATTATTTTATCGTTATTATTGTTAAGTATGAAGTATTATGAATGTCATGCGAAAGGCTGTTAATGATTAGATGAATAAAAAGTTTTCTACAATATTTAATTGGTAAATGACTTGATTAATAAATCGATTTCGTGATGAATTTGTGAAATTTGAAGAGAAAATTTTGTTGTCTAATTTTCCATTATTATTCAACTAACAAAAAATGAGTAAATAAATCTTTCCGATCTCTTTTAAACTCGAAAATATTTAGAAAAACAATAGAATAAAATTCTGTTCAGATTTTTGTTCTCCAATTTTTTTAATATTCTTAAATACAAATTTTTTTTTCACAACAAGTGATTCCAGGGGGAAATTTCAGGAGATATTTTCCGAAAATTGATCCTCAACTCCATTTAACAAATTTATTTGCCCCCAAAATTGATAAATAAATCATTATTTCGTCTTTTCTTCCGCCAAACTATGGCTTCCTTAACGTTTAACACTCCTCAAGCCCTAAAAAATAGTAATAAAAATATTAATAACTTACTAAATCAGAGATAGCAGGCAAGTTACTAGTCTGATCGCTGGCAAGTACCTCAGACTCTCTGATCTCCTTCGACTGACTCGACTTCTTCATATTCCTGTGCTGTGGGAATGTTGGCATGAGCTTCGGATCACATGGGAGTGGAGCCTCCTTGAAGTAGCTACTCTGGAGGCATTCCTCGGCGGTCGCACGTTTCTTGGGATCGTACATGAACAGAAAATTAAGCAAACGTAATCCAGCAGCACTCAGCCAGGGGAATCTCTGCTTGAGATTGTTGTAGGGCTGCTGTTTCAACGAGAAGTTCTGGAGGGCTGGGAGGGAATTGAATTCCGGCCATATCGCCTCTGAGGGGGTCCCCAGGAGATCGACAATCAGCTCCAGTTGCTGGATCTCTGATCTGCCTGGGAGTAATGGTCTATGGCCCAACAGTTCCCCTGAAAAAACAAAATTCTGAAATTCAGTTTGTTTTTTGCGAATATCTCGAAATCCGTGGGAGCTAGCGGAATTATCGTCTGAACCTTTTTTGTAGAGAACAAAATTTCCAACAAGAAATGTCATAACAAAAATTGTGCTAGCTCCCTTCAATCTAAAGATATTCATCAAAAACTGAACTTAAGAAAAGTAAATTTGTTTTTTTAATGAGGTTGAGTTTTTTGAAAATATCTCGAAATCCACGGGAGATAGCGAAATTATTGTTTCAACCTTTTTTGTAGAGGAGAAAATTTCCAATAAAAAATGTTCAGACAAAAATTTCGTTATCTCCCTTCAACGCCAAGATATTCAGCAAACACAGACTTAAAGAACAAATTCTTCATTCTGCATTGGTTAGAGTAGCGAGTTGGTAATCTGAAGGTTGTGGGTTCAAATTCCCTCGTGGCATTACCCTTGGTTTTGCAATCACTTCTTTCAATAAAATATTGGAATGATAAACCTCCATGATTTCCTCAATTTAGATTGGTTAATCCCCAATTATTCTCAATTGAATTCCCAAAAAATGATGGCATCATCACCTAGGATGCACCCAGCGGCCCACATGTCGACCGAAGTCGTCTGAGTCTTCGCCTGCAGCAGGAGTTCAGGCGCCCTGTACCACAGAGTGACGACCCTGGGAGTCATAGGCTTCAGTGGCAGTCCAAACCACCTGGCCAGGCCGAAATCAGCGATTTTGACGCATCCCTTATCAGTCATGAGTAAATTCGAGACCTTCAAGTCCCTGTGAACGATGAAGTTACGATGGAGATAACGCAGGCCCTTCAGCACCTGCAGGACAATGCATTTCACTTGGCTCTCGGAGAAGGGGGTCTGCATGTTGTCCAGGAGGCTTGCTAAATCCTGCTCGCAGTACTCCATCGCCAGGAAAATACTCTCGAGACTCCTGCCCACCACGACCTCCCTCAGCTGGACAATGTTCTCGTGTCGACAGGAGAGAAGGACACTTATCTCCCTGAGACCACTCACTGGGAGTCCATCCTTCTCGTGCTCCATTCGAACCTTCTTCAGGGCAACCACTTTGTCCGTCTTCGTGTCCCTCGCTCGGTAAACTATACCGTAGGTGCCTTCACCTATTCGATTCAGTTTCTCGAATTCTGAGACAAATCTGCATTTTCCCAGCTGTGGATTGAAATAATATTTTTTGACTGGAGTTTTCTATTTTTTCATTAATTTTTTTATTGAAGTCTTTGGAGACTGTAAACAGGGAAGAATAACACGAAATTATAAAGATTTAATGGATCTATAGAAATATTATTGAGGGATGAACAATAGAAGACAAAACAATTTTCAACATTTTTTTGAATACGAAATATCTACCTAAGGAGTGGTTTTAGAGGAAAATCTCATAGAACATTTTTTGTTGGAAATTCTCTCTTCTATAAAAAAGGTCCTGACGAAAATTTCGCTATCTGCTTTGCATTAAGAGATATGAATGAAAAACGAATTCTGAAATTAAGTGGATTATTTAATTTTGCAATTTTCCACATTTCGTTACATATCGAATATCTGGATAACGAGCCATTTTAGAGGAAAATGCCAAAGGACATTTTTTGTTGGAAATTCTCTCTTCTACAAAAAAGGTCCTGACGAAAATTTCGCTATCTGCTTTGCATTAAGAGATATGAATGAAAAACGAATTCTGAAATTAAGTGGATTATTTAATTTTGCAATTTTCCACATTTCGTTACATATCGAATATCTGGATAACGAGCCATTTTAGAGGAAAATGCCAAAGGACATTTTTTGTTGGAAATTCTCTCTTCTACAAAAAAGGTCCTGACGAAAATTTCGCTATCTGCTTTGCATTAAGAGATATGAATGAAAAACGAATTCTGAAATTAAGTGGATTATTTAATTTTGCAATTTTCCACATTTCGTTACATATCGAATATCTGGATAACGAGCCATTTTAGAGGAAAATGCCAAAGGACATTTTTTGTTGGAAATTCTCTCTTCTACAAAAAAGGTCCTGACGAAAATTTCGCTATCTGCTTTGCATTAAGAGATATGAATGAAAAACGAATTCTGAAATTAAGTGGATTATTTAATTTTGCAATTTTCCACATTTCGTTACATATCGAATATCTGGATAACAAGCCATTTTAGACGAAAATACCAGAGAACATTTTTGTTGGAAATGTTCTGCTCCACAAAAAAGTTCCTGACAAAAAATGTCGTATCTCCCATAGATTTCGAGATATTCCCCGATAACTACCCACAATTGAAATGAAATCCTTTCATCTCCTCAAAATTTCCATTTTTTAAGTCCATAATTACAAATCCAGAGCCCTGAGCTGAGATTCCCTTTTAAAGACTCCTAGCCTAGTCCCTTAAAACCCTGGGATAAATAACAAATCATAAAATCATCTTACAATGTCTTGCTCCGGAATTTCCATAGGTTTTCCAGTCATAAGCGAGGTTAAGATTCCCCTCCTGGTGATGGGAGCTGAGGGATCTGGGCCTGCCTCAGCAGACGATCTCTTCGACTCGTTGCTATTCGAATGTTTTCTGTCATCTAAAATCATCCATCAACATCAGGACAACCCCTCACCCACCAATAACACAACAACGTAACCTAAAAGACGAATAAATAATTCGTGAATCCCTCACCCTTCGTCATGATGTCCAGTGAAAAAACCCCGAGAATCCCCTCTTCCTGGGAGAATGCACTTGCAATCAGAACAATTAGCACTCGCAATAGTCCTCGATAACGAGAGCAATCGATCGATCAAAAGAACCCGGTGAATGCCATTATGACTGCTCACATCAAATGATCAAATGTTTGTGTTTTTCGTGACGTAGAAGATCTCGAGCGATGGTTCAGGGATGTATTCATGATTCTCGTCCCCCTAAATCGCATTCAGCGTCACTGCCCTCAAAATTCACAAGAATAGGAAAGGTTGGGGTAAAACGGACACTTTTTACTTTTTCTAAAATGCCAATGAGGGGTTGAAATGTAGACAAACTTTAACATTTTTTTGCAATACAAAGAACAATTCTTTCCCTTTGTGACGAGCACTGAGCTCAATTGATCAATTTGTTTCTGAGTTATGAATAATTGTAAAAAAGTCTAAAGTGTCCGTTTTACCCCACCCGCCCCTACGCAAGAATAGAGAACTTGCATGAATTCCTTTAAATTTTCTAATCTCAAGTTTGGGACCTGAATAATTCATTTTTCATTCACAAACGTTCGAAATATTTTCCTGCATTTTGTCCATTTCATTTCTAAATAATGAACACGAGTTGGTGGAATAAAATTTGTATCAAAGTCAAGGGAATATCCTCATCTCTCAGTTAAAAAAAAAATCAATTTTTTTAGGTACTTGCGATTTTGGAAAAACATCCTTAAGCTACACGGAATCCCCACTTTTCGGACCCTACATTCGAAACCATATGCCCAGTGACAGAATAACGCGTGACAATCATATTATTCTCCTCGACTGCTACTCGTAGACTGTTCATCACCTGCGGTTGCCATTACCTTATCTCTACTTCAGTCGCAATTCTCGAAGCACTCGACAAGTTTCACAATAATTTTGGGCTTCAGTTTAGTTTTAGAATAAAATGAAGCATTTGTTGATTTCTTTGTTTCTTCTGGCTCCCTGTCTCGGTTCCCTCCCGCAATCCCCTGCCTTTATGTTGAAACTGCTCGAATTCGAGGAATGGAACACCTTTAAGGTACAAAAAAAAATTATTAGATTAAAAAAAAAATTTTTAAATTAAAATTATTAATTATTATTATTAATTTAAAATTATTATTATTATTATTATTATTAAGGCAGGGTGGGGCAAAATGGGATGGCTAAAAATTCGAAAAATACTGAAAATTGTTATTAATGTATATAGAGGCCCAAAATTCCACTGAAAAAAATTCATATTACCACTTTTGTTTTCAACAGTTTTTTTTATCAGTATCTGGAAGATTAGTGGAGATACAGCCAGTTTACACGGATTTTGTTCCACAAATTCTCATGAATTTCCTAAAAAAGGTTCTCTACTGAGATTTCATATTTATTTAGTATCTCAAAATGATTGGAAACGCTGCGCTGGGTTTAATTATCCGTTTTTAATAAATTATTTTCCCACATTTCAGTAATTCCATCAGAAATCAGTAAAAGAGAGGAAAAAGGAACCAAATTACACGAGTAATGAATACCTTTATGATTTTAAGAAACTTCTAATTTTTTTGTGCAAAATTGGACTATCCAGTTTTACCCGCCCTATCCCATTTTGCCCCACCCTCCCCTACATATAAATAATTTGTAGACACCTTAAAGAATGTGAATGAAGGATATGAAACGAAAGAGGAGACCAACTGCAATATGTGTGACGAATTGAGAAATGTAAAACAGCAACTGCAGTGTAAATAAGCTAAAATAATGACTCTAGCACTTTAAATAATGATTTTAAAAAACTGTTTTAGTTGCAATACAGGAAGAGTTATTCAAACATTTTGGACGACAGGGACAGGGCGAAGATATGGAGAGACAATAAATTATTCATCGCTAAACACAATGCTGCCTACTTCGCAAAAAATTCAACTTCGTTCAAGGTTTCTGTGAATGCACTCGCTGATATGGTGCGTATCTTATTCGGTTTCAATGTCAGTTTTATGGCGCGGAATTCGTAGTACTCTCGACAAAGTAATATTTATCGCTGTGACACGAGGATGTTTAATTGTCGGGAGATAGAGGTGAATCAAAATGGAAACTTCTGAATTCTTTTGGAATGACACCCATTAATAAGTCGTTAACGAAATACATTTCTACTTCATTTACATTTTATTACAGTTCTGTTTTCTTTTGATGTTGTTGTCGTTAGTCATGCTCCCATTTTGCCTCCCTCTCTTTCCAAACTATTTTCAATCATCAAATTTGTCTATTTAATTGAGTGAAAAAAAGTTGAAAAAATCATGAATATCCAAAGTCATTCAAATGACATTCTGCACAGAATTATTATCTTTCTTAACATTCCTTGTTTATGAATAAATCATTGAGACTGTTTAAACTTTTGGAAATCTAATTTTTTAGGCTGAATTCTTTTGGAATGAGACTCATTAATAAGTCGTTAACGAAATACATTTCTACTTCATTTACATTTTATTACAGTTCTGTTTTCTTTTGATGTTGTTGTCGTTAGTCATGCTCCCATTTTGCCTCCCTCTCTTTCCAAACTATTTTCAATCATCAAATTTGTCTATTTAATTGAGTGAGAAAAAGTTGAAAAAATCATGAATATCCAAAGTCATTCAAATGACATTCTGCACAGAATTATTATCTTTCTTAACATTCCTTGTTTATGAATAAATCATTGAGACTGTTTAAACTTTTGGAAATCTAATTTTTTAGGCTGAATTCTTTTGGAATGAGACTCATTAATAAGTCGTTAACGAAATACATTTCTACTTCATTTACATTTTATTACAGTTCTGTTTTCTTTTGATGTTGTTGTCGTTAGTCATGCTCCCATTTTGCCTCCCTCTCTTTCCAAACTATTTTCAATCATCAAATTTGTCTATTTAATTGAGTGAGAAAAAGTTGAAAAAATCATGAATATCCAAAGTCATTCAAATGACATTCTGCACAGAATTATTATCTTTCTTAACATTCCTTGTTTATGAATAAATCATTGAGACTGTTTAAACTTTTGGAAATCTAATTTTTTAGGCTGAATTCTTTTGGAATGAGACTCATTAATAAGTCGTTAACGAAATACATTTCTACTTCATTTACATTTTATTACAGTTCTGTTTTCTTTTGATGTTGTTGTCGTTAGTCATGCTCCCATTTTGCCTCCCTCTCTTTCCAAACTATTTTCAATCATCAAATTTGTCTATTTAATTGAGTGAGAAAAAGTTGAAAAAATCATGAATATCCAAAGTCATTCAAATGACATTCTGCACAGAATTATTATCTTTCTTAACATTCCTTGTTTATGAATAAATCATTGAGACTGTTTAAACTGTTGGAAATCTAATTTTTTAGGTATGAAATCGATTTCTGGTGAAATTACGATTCCGAACAATTGATTTTCATTACGAAAAATTGATTGTTTATAAATTGTTCATAGAAAATGCTCGCAGTTTTCAAAAATTGCAATTTTTTAATTACTTCATCAATCTTCTTTTAAAAGAGGACTTTCTAATTTTTTTCAGATTAAAAATTGTTTTTTTACGATTCAATATCGAGATTTAAATTCACACCTGCAAAGTTTAAATAATAAAATCATTGTAAGATGTCCGGAAATTGAGCAAAAAGATTGGAATTTTTTCCCTGAACAAATAAATTTGGAAATAAAAAAATTGAATTTAAAAAATGAAAAATTAATTGATTGAGAATTGAAAAAAAATATATTTTGTCCCTGAACATTGCAATTTTTGTTGGAATTATTGCATTTTCTACTTGAATTTCAAAAATACCGACAGTACTTTTCAATTGATTTTTTGTTTGATATTTATGCTAGGGATTATTGAGATAGTTTAAAATATTCTTGAGGACTAACTCACTTTTTTCTTTGGTCTCAGACGAGGGAAGAAATCAAGGCTAGTAGAAACGGATTCAAACAGTTCCCAAAAGCCAATTTAACTGGTTTGGAAAGGGGGGCATCGTTCATGAAGCCTGCGAATGTCGAGTTTCCTGATTATGTCAATTGGGTTGATGAGGGGGCAGTGTCTCCGGTGAAGGATCAGGGACAGTGTGGATCCTGTTGGGCATTTTCTGCGGTAATAATAACCTTTTATTTCAACATTCGCAGCCTAACATCAGAGCTTTCTTTTCAGCCTCATCCGACTCTAGACTCTAGAGTCTAGAGCATTGAAACATCAAAATTTTTTTGATTTACTTGAATTATGAAGGTCTAAACTTCATTCTTCATGTTAAATCGTTAGGAATCGTTTCCAAAATTAGAAAATTTTCTGAAGGATGCGTAACAAGAGGATGAAAAAAAAGAAAAAAAAATTGACAAACAAATCCTTAAAAAATCTTTTTAAAACTTTAAAAAAATTTTAAACAGATTGTGAAAAAAAGAAAAAAAATTAAAAAACAATATGCAAAACGTCTAATCAGCGATAGATAATAAATAAATATAGATATATAACATATATAACATGATATATAACATGATATATAACATGATATATAACATGAAAAAGCAAAGAAAAACGAAAGAAGAAATTTTTAAAAAGAAAAGAGAAGGAAAAGTCAATTCTTCAAAAGTCAGTTCTTGAGCATTCGAAACGTAGTGCAATTGAATCACCAAATTTCAACAATTTCTCTACACTTCGATCCTAATAATTTTTCACGTATTTCCCTCCCATCAGACCGGAAGTCTCGAAGGACAGCACTTCCGACGAACAGGAACCCTCGTCTCCCTGAGCGAGCAGAACCTCGTGGACTGCGCAAACTGGTGGTACCTCAACTTCGGATGCAAGGGAGGTGAAGTCAACCACGCGTTCCGCTACGTGAAGAAGTACGGCCTCGACACTGAGGCCAGCTACCCGTACGAAGCGAAGAACGACAAGTGTCACTTCAGGAAGGAAACCATCGGCACCACCGAGGTGTCCTGGGTGAATATTCGCCGTGGGAATGAGGAAGACCTCAAGGCTGCTGTTGCCACTATGGGCCCTGTCTCTGTGGCCATTGACGCGTCATTAAGTTCATTCCACTTTTACAGTGAAGGTAAAATTTACGAATCAGTTGAGACTTTCAGAGGGAAAAAATGGCAACAATGACCAGAAGTTTTCTGAATATTTTGAGGTGGTGGGAAATTGTTATAATTTCAGTCTTCGAGTTGTGGATGAAAATTATGAGACCTCATATCCATCGACATTAATTGAAATTCAATTCATGCATTAAAATATGGCGTTAAAATATGACTCCAGCATGAGTTAAAATCACGTGAATTCAAAAAAAATTGAAGGGCAAAATGGAACAGTCTTTGTATGAAAAAAAATCTGCAAACATTGATTTCGTGACCGATCTGAGGGATCGTACGAGGTGGATCAGCAAAATGCTCAGAAGGCTCCGTAGTTATAAGACAAAGAAAGAAAAGCTTTAGTTTTTAGGGATCTATTCCTCATTTTTTGAGATTCTTGACATCAACTGGAATTAGTGAGTTTAGTCTCTAGATTTCAGTGATAGAGTCCTTAGCATCAAGGATTCTATCACTGAAATCTAGGGACTAAACTCCTAGGGCTCAAGATTTCTTCAAAACGTTTGTCCCACGATAACTAGAAAAATGCTAGATGAAAATAAAAGTAATTTTCCACTTGTTTTTGTTTATTAGGGATTTATGACGATCCTAAATGCTCAACTAGTCTAGATCACGCAGTGCTAATAGTTGGATATGGAACTGAGGACGGGAAGGATTATTGGCTCGTCAAGAACAGTTGGGGTGTCGGCTGGGGGGAAAAGGGATACATCAAGATCGCACGGAACAGGAATATGTGCGGAATCGCCAACAGTGCCAGTTACCCCCTAGTTTAATTAATTATGTGATTTATAAATATGCATTTTCCCCAAAGAGATGATCTCAATCTCAGACTCACATTAATTAGTGCACTTCAATGAGTCATCTTTCATGTTCTGGAGGAAATGAGAAGAAAAAAGAAATTACGATTTTGTCGTTTGAAAAACGGAAATGTTTTACACTTTTCTAGAAGTGAGAGTGTCTGCTTTTCGACAGAATATTCATGTTAATTCCGTTGTACAGTATATTCAAGCATAAAGATAAACATATCTACTTTTTTATACAACTTACGAAAATATTCCGAATGTTTAATAAAGAAATATTTTATTAAATCGCCAGATTGTTAACGTTTCGATAGAAATTTCCGCAGAAAATATCTCAATAGAATTATGTATTGCATAAAAAAATAAAATTTATCTATTTTTTCTGCGATATATTTTTTGCCAGTAAAATAAATTTCGGAGTCTTAATTTCGAGTACCAAATTTTTATCGCCAGAAGTCGATTTGGATTTTTATAATATAGAGAGATAGAGATTCCTCCAAATCGAAGGGAAATATCGAAATTTTCGTAATTACCTTTTTTGTAGAGCGCATTGAGGGCTTCGAACAAGTCTGTTTGAAACGTAACTCAACTTCTCCAAGACCAAGGTCGATCAGCTCGGCCAATTACGAAAATCATCGGTCTTTTCCGGGTCAACGCTCAGGTCTAGTAGTCGCCGTAAATCAACGCCAATCAGTACATCACGGTCTGTCGCACGTTTTGAATGGAATTCAACTCTGTAGAGTTTAGACCATAGTATATTAGCGTCTATTAACTCGGTGATAGAAATTCAGTAAAAGAAAATCACGTTATTTATTGACCATTCAACCAGTGACTCACAGTGCAAACCGATAGACAATTAAATTAATTCAGTACGATCAACAAGTGACAAGATGGTTTTGTAAATTTGACAAGGCGTGGTTCGACCCCGAGAATAAATTAACGTTCATACTAGGTCAAGACTCTCAACTATTATTTCACACCGACGATTCTCTAACCTCCCAATCCACCCTAAATCTAGTTCCTCGCCAAACAAGGTCGTTACAAAAATTTTGCTATCCGCCTTTGATTCCGAGATATTCAATGAAGACTGGCCAATGAACCAATGCCAAGCCAATGGCCAATTGAACTGTTTTCCCGCTTCACTATTGAATTCTTCTTTCTTAACAGTCGATGAAGGTGAATTCCGAATTATCAATTATTCTATTCTCGTAAAATTCAACAATTCCATCCCCTAAAATTACCATAAAACCCCCAAAAATTCACATTTCTCCCGGTTCAAATCACCTCAAATCACTCAAAAAATTGAAAAACCGGAAATTATTTTTTGAAGCTAAAAATTCCGGAAGTGCAGGAAAAATCATCTGTTTTGAGAACAGCCGAATGAAATAGCGGACGTGTTCCACCGATAACAACACAAACATACAATAATCAGTGATGGATCGAGGGAATTTAGAGTGTGATAAAAACACTGGTCAAATTGTCATTTACGCTACGTCTCGCTGATACACTCGAGCTTCCTCAGGCTCTGGACAAATTAAATGCGTAAAATAAAGATCACAAAACGAAACCTACCCACCAACTAGGTATTATGCAATGTCATAACCCCCAAATCAATCTCTTCACGCAGAAAAAATTAATTTCTATTACCCAAAATCATGTAGGGGAGGGGGGGCAAAATGGGGCACCTCAAAATTTTCGCAAAAATTGAAATAATGAGGAATTTGCGGGAAAAGTATGAAATAACTACCAGATGAGTTAATTAAAAACTATCTCTCGATTTTTTTCAGATTTTTTCGACAATCCATTTCAGAGATATTTTTTCTTCATTTTTCAATAAGTTCAGTTCTATTCATTCGATTTTCATTTATAACCCATAAAAATTTTCCATTCTTTACTATCTATAAGAATATTTTGAGTATTTTTTTCCTCAATCCCTAGTTGCTCATAACGAATTCAAAAAGAAAAGTTGAAAAACTTGAATTTTCAAAAATGTCACGTTTTATTTTGGTCGTATTTTTTTCGTTAATTCTTGTCATCAAAACAAGTATTTTGAGCTGTCAAACAAGGTTTCGTCCTGGACCTATTTTATTTTTAATTTTTTCTTGTCGAAATTCCGCGAATTTGGTCAAAACACCCTGAGACGACTTCGATTATCTATCGAAAAAGTAGGGGAGGATGGGGTAAAACGGACACTTGACTTTTTTAAAAATGTTAATGAAGGGTTGAAATGTTGATAAAATTTAATATATTTTTTTTTTCAATTACAAAGAACAATTCTTTCCCTTTGTGACGAGCCTAAACTGAGCTCAATTGGTCAATTTGTTTCTGAGTTATGAATAATTTTAAAAAAGTCTAAAGTGTAGTCCGTTTTACCCCATCCTCCCCACACTCCAAATTCCCTCGATCCATCATTGAGTAGATGGATTAATTATATGGGGTTGAACATCGTTAATAGGTGTAATAATTGTTGTTCCAACAATTGTTGATAATTCCAAGGACAAATGGTCGCAATGTCGTGCAGTGGGAAATAAATAAAAATCGGCTTAACGGTATCTTCTCGCTGTCAGTGTTGATTGTGAACATGAGGGGGGACTGAGGCGAGCGGTGAAGTCACGCCAACATCGCTGACATTTCGGCCAATGTGAAAGTGAACGGTTAAAAAGACGATAAAGACCAGATGATTAAAACGATGAACCGGTTGAATTCTGATAGGAGGCCTGTGGGCTACAGTGCGGCTTCGGCTCTCAACAGGTGAGCTTCATTCTCTAAACATTCCAGTTGTTGACTCCAATTTTTGTGCTATTTTTCCCCTAATTAATTAAAAAAACACACAATTAATTTCGTTTTCGTAATTGGGAAGAAAGAGGACAATTTGGGAAGTGAAATTTTTTTTTTTTTGATGGAAAAATTTATATTTTGCGCGTTGATTTTCTGCTGGCGATGGTGAGGATGAAACGTAAGATAGAACTGGAGATTATGAATGTGAAAGTATTGGAAAGTAATTCCAAGTGTCGAAATTTCAGTTCTCATGCTACAATAATCTTTGAACAATAGTTTTCCCATTGGAAATGAGAATGAAATCATTCCATTCTTGAATCATGGCGTCAGAAATTTGTGAGAAATTTCCGTTGAGAATTTCTTCTTGGAATTATCAATACCTTATCTCCTGAAGAACTTCAGTGGAAAATTCCGCCATTATCAGGTTGAAATGACACAGGTAGTTGCCTCCATCTGGTGACTGATTTATATTCTCCTATAAATGTTCAATAAATCCGTAACATATTCGTGAATAAAAAATTTGATAGCAATTCTTGAGAAGTTTAAATATCGATAGCCTAACTATTGGAATTGCATTCATTTTTTTCAAGCAAAATATTTCACAGGAAAAAAATACAAGATTTTTTATTTTTTATTCAACTTATTTTCTTATTCTGTGGAAATTTTGTCGATGAAAACTCTTGGACTCAAATTTTTCAAGTCCTTTCTTAAAAACTCACTTTCAAAATTGAAGTATGTTTAGTTTTTTCAATGAATTTATTTTTTTTTCATTCAAAAGAGAAAAATAAATTAAATTTTCTAGAGAATTTCGTCGCAATTTTTTTTATTTACGAGACCTCCAATAATTCTAGATGTGATTTTCAGGCGAAACTTTTCTCTTCAACTACATCCGGACTACAGATATTTAACTGGAATATTTTTGTGAAAAGAATTCAACAAGTTTTTATCATCGACAAATTGCTCATCCCTCATTAGGTCAAATGATTCAATTGAAGAATAAAATCACGAATTAAAAAATTAAAATTAAGAATAAAAAACATTTTTTTCCATTCAAAACACAGAAGCGAATAAAATTTTCTCGAAAATGCGTCAACATTTCCTTTCAATTTTTTTTATCCACGAAACCTTCAATAATTCTAGATGTGATTTTCAGGGGAAATTTTTCTCTCCAACTACATCCGGACTACAGATATTTAACTTGAATATTTATACGAAGACAATTCACCAATTTGTTTCATCAGCAATTTTTCAACCAAAAAATTCCCTCGAAAAGTCAATTACCATTGAACTCTTGAGATTGCGAATAAAAATGGAAGTGGAAGGAATTCGTGTTCAGTTAAAAAAATACCACCAGGATCACCTCCTGAATTTCTGGGAGGAGCTGACAGACCTCGAGAAGAAGGAGCTCACCGATGACATCTTCAACGTGGACCTGGCAGAGACGAACTCCTACTTCGAGAGGGCGAACGCCTCGTTGAAGAACAACAACAAGCTCCTGGATGACGAGATGAAGCCCATAGACAGCGACAGGTGTGGGGTCCTGAACGAGTGCTCCGAGGAGCAGCTGAGGGGGTACGAGGATCGAGGGCTGAGGGAGATCGCGGAGGGGAGGGCAGCGGTGGTGCTGATGGCTGGGGGACAGGGGACTAGACTCGGGGTGACGTACCCCAAGGGAATGTACGACGTGGGGCTGCCCTCGAGGAAAACTCTGTTTCAGCTGCAAGCCGAGAGGATCAGGAGGCTGGAGTCCATGGCTGAGGAGACCTGTGGGAAGAGGGGGGTCATCACTTGGTGAGGAGAGGATTTAATTTATTAAAATATTCATTTATTTACTTGTTTATTTATTTTTGGAGGTGAATTGAGGACGCAATTTGAGAATTTATCTGGGGGAAGAATGAATTTTTGTGACAATGCCTAAGGAAATTTTAGAAATTTAGTAGGGGACGGTGGGGCAAAATGAAGCACGGGGCAAAATGAAACAGCAAGAAAATCTTGTGATCTAAGGGAAATAGGACGATTTTCATGAGAACCTTTTTTGTAGAGAATTTTACAAGCTACAAAAAAGGTCCTCTTCAAAAATGTCCTATCTCTTTTAGATGACGAGATTTTCCCACTGTTTCATTTTGCCCCATGCTCCCCTAGTTTTAGTATTTTATATTCTAATATTGAAATATTAAAAATATTTAAATGGACTTTAATATTATTATTGGATAATTCATGATTGTTTACTGTCATTTATCAATTATTGATATTAAATTTTGTTTAGTGAATACTAAAAACATTAAACGAAAAGTATTTTTCCATTTTTTTCAATAAAAAAAATTAACTTTCTGCAGAAAATATTTCATTTATGAGTGAATTCAATTTAATCCACTTTTATGTTCTATTTTTTATCAATTAATTAATGTTTTTTTGATCCATTTATTTATTTTTTTGAGGTGAATTAAGGGCCTAATTTAAGAATTGACTGAAATACCAAAGGAAATTTTTGAATTGAAATGACGATATTATTATTGAATAATAGCTCATTATTAATTATTATCCATCAATAATAACTATCAATTAACTTTATTTAATATTAAAAATATTAAACTAAAAAAAGTATTCTTTCACTTTCCCATTTTTCAAAATTTGCTGTTCTGCAAAAAATAATATTAAAATAATATTCTTCACTTCACTTTTGCATTCTTCAGGTACATCCTCACGAGTGAAGCAACCGACAAAACGACAAACGAATTTTTAAACCGCCACAACTACTTCGGCCTGGAGAAAGAAAACGTGAAGACGTTCAAGCAGTGCATGATCCCCTGCTACGATTTCGATGGAAAAATCCTTCTGGATGATAAACACAAAATTTCGAGGGCTCCCGATGGCAACGGGGGTCTCTACAGAGCCCTCCACCAGTCAGGAGTGCTGGACGACATGAGGAACAGAGGAATTCGAAGTGTTCATGCTCACTCAGTTGACAATATTCTGATTAAAGTTGCTGACCCTTACTTCGTTGGATATTGCCTTGACAAGGGAGCTGACTGTGGTGTTCTAGTGGTGGAGAAGACTGAGCCTACTGAAGCTGTTGGTGTTGTGTGTCAGGTAATGAAAGAGGAAATTTAGTTTTTTATTTGGAGGTGATGATAATTTTCTCTTGAATTAATTTTGTTTTCATTAAAAACAAACGGAGACATCTTCTGAGACATCCCCCACACCTTTCCCGACAATAAAAAAAGCCAAATTCCTCTGTCATCTAGGTGGACGGCCTCTACAGAGTCGTAGAATACTCTGAAATTCCAAAAGCCACGTCAGAGCTTCGTCGCCCAGACGGAAGGCTCCTCTTCAACGCTGGCAACGTCTGCAATCACTACTTCACTGTCGACTTCCTCGTGAGGATCTCCGAGTGTCACGAGAAGGACCTGGACCTCCACCTGGCCAAGAAGAAGATCCCCTTCGTGGACGAGAGGGGCGAGAGGCAGGTGCCAGCCACCCCCAATGGCATCAAAGTCGAGAAGTTTGTCTTCGACGTCTTCAAGTACTCGAGCAACTTCGCTGCTTGGGAGGTGCCCAGGGAGAGCCACTTCAGTCCTCTGAAAAATTCTGATTCTGCGGGACAGGATTGTCCAGCAACAGCCAAGAGGGATGTGCTGGCTCTCCACAAGAAGTGGCTGCTGAACGCTGGGGTCAAGTCGGTTCTGGGGGAGGTGGAGGTCTCCCCTTTGAGGTCCTACATGGGGGAGAACCTCAACGATTTGTCTGGTGTCATTCAAGGGCCTAGAGTGGTGGAATAAGCAGGGGATGGCATCCAGGCTTTATCTCTTCCAGAGAATTTCGACTCTGGAAATTTGAGGGGACGTTTCCCAGAGCCCAGGGGAATTCCTCGGGGGTCTGGCTCGATGACAGATTTTTTGAATGGTTTATCTGGCTCCTAATTCAGTCGTGAAGTGGAAGAGTGGATTTCGAAGTGTTTTTAATGGAGATTATTTGGAGGAATTCAATTCTTCGCAGATAAATCTTCCCATTTTTTGTAAATTTTTGTTCAACATTGAATTATCTCGATGACGAAGGCATTTACAGCGAAATGTCAAAAGATATTTTTTGTTGGAAATTTAATTCTCTACAAAAAAGGTTCATGAGATTTTTTTGGGAATCCATTCGTTTTCGAGTTGAGAGCAAAATTCTCTGTTGAGTTTTCAATTTTTATGAGGAAAAAGTCAATTTTTTATTTTTGTTTTTTCTCTCTATCTTGGTAAGGAATTATTTTAGAAGAAAGTAATGATCGACGTTTTTTGTCAATGTTTTAATTTAATTCACGCATGATACATTCCATGTAAGCTACCCCAGCAGAATCCACCATAATTGTACATAAAAAGTTCTGAATTTAAGGATTTTATAGTCGGAAGGCATATTTTATTGTGTCTCTTCCGAAATTTTGTACATTTCTCCCTCTACTTTAGCCCAGAATTGTGAAATTTGCTACTGCAATTGAAAAAAGAAAAGAATTCTTAACGAATAACTGAACAATAATTTGTAATTTTAGAAAATAAAGAGGAAAAAATGAACTGCCATTCGTTGATTTCAGTTTCTTCACCAAAAAATAGTTCTCAAAATTAAAATGATGAAGTTCGATATTTCGAATGAGAAAAAAATTCTATTCTCAATGAATAAATGAGAATAAATTTTGAAAGAGAAAATGAAGTGCCAATTGTTGATTTTAGTTTCTTCACCAAAAAATAGTTCTCAAATTTCGAAGAAAGGAATGAAAATTGATGTATTCATTAGCCAGTGGGAGCCTTCAGCTCATATTTCCCAGTGCTCCCACCGATCTCCAGGAGTTCGTCCAAAAGATCCTTTGGATTGATCTTCCGAGAGATGAGAAGTGTCCTCTGGTCTTTGCCCCCACGACTGTGGGACTTCAAGCCGAAATTCCTAGCGATCTGGTGCATCAGGGCTCTCTCATCGTTATCGAAATCACAGAATACTAGATCATCCTTTGCACCGTCCCTGATGTACTGCTGAAGAGTCTCTCTGAATTTCGTTTTGAAGTGTATTCTATTGCTCTGGTTTAACGTCACACCAAATCCTCTTCTTGATATTTTCCTAGGTACTCTGAATTCAGTAGAATAAACAATAATTAATCGTCTCCCATTTATAATTTTTTTATGGATTTTTTTTATTATCTCTCATTTTTAATTTTTAATAAAAATTTTCGAATCAGAAAAACTCAAATTAAAAATGAAAATGGAAAGAAAAATTCTATTCTGAATTACGAAATTTATAATTAATTACGATTATTCACTTATTTCTATTTTTTCCCTTTTCAGTGAAAATGTTTTAATAAAAAAAAAATCAAATTCAAATAAAAATTGAAGAAACGACAAGCAATTCGCGTAAAAATAAGCATTAAATTTCTTTTTTGTGAACAATTAAATATAATTAATCACCTGTCACCCCAACTTCAATTTTTTTAATGAGAAAAATTCAAACTGAACATTAAAATGACTAAATGACGGGAAAAAAACTGGAAAAAAATTCCTAATCAGTGAATTTGTAATTAATTAAGAGGAAAATTTAATTGGACTCACGCGATAGGTTCAGTGATTCCCTGTTGTGATTTCCCGAGGCCCCCACCAGCCCATCCCATAAGCTTCATGAGTTTGGCACCGACATTGTCCTGGCCAAGGCACTCTTTACTGCGTTCATCAGGTTTTTTCGTTCCATTCAACTTCTCGCTGAAATCTGTGTTGGAGTTTAAATTCTGCGCCCACTGCTGCTTGATCTGTTGAGGAATATTTCATGCTGTTGATCAGTATTTTACTATTTTTTGCTTCGGACGATGTCGAGAGGAGACAGAGAATTGTTGTTGGCTTTACCTCAATCAAGTAATAATACTTTCGGAGAATTTCTAGACCTCTCTTGGCGGCTTCTGCCTTGGCCAACTTCTTGGAGGTTCCCTGGGCTTCAATCAGCTTCTTTTCACCGAAGAGTATGTGACATCGATAGGTGCTTCGTGGAAAAAAGGGAAGATGGCTTTCAGTTGAGAGTGGTTAGAGTAAAGAAAAATCTCCCACGAAACACTCGTCAGGGACGAGTAATTGAATTCTGATTAATTTAACGGCGACTGGAGTCGGCCTGAGCCTTTGACAGCTGACGTTGACAGTTGAGGGCAACACCTGTCGTCAGGATCAGGTCTGGGCCCCTCCGGCGTACCCCCATGTCGACCATTAAATTTTGAAACTCGGCTGATTGGCCATATTCACTATTTCATCACCACAAAACCAAGGAATTTTCCTCTTTCTCTTGATCATTTTTAATTCAAGATCTAATGAGAATTATTTTCGCGTGAACGAGAGATACCCCTGGACGGGCAGGAACTGGGCCGAGGGCCAACAACTGGGCTCGTCACCCCTCACAATTAACTCCAATAAATTATCCTGGGTGATGAAAAATATCTCACGCATTTATCATTTATCATTATTATTAGTTTCGTACTTCCATTCAACTTTCGTTCCACTAACACCCGCAGAGCATTCAACAACAGCCTGGGCACTTTGATTAGAACACCCAAATAAAACTAAATCCCCAAACGACTGTTCATTGAATTCTAAACCTCGAGCATTAAATTTTAAAACTCGGTTGGCTGTACCCCCTATTTCATCACCAAAAACCAACAAATTTTCCTCATTCTCTTGAAAATTTTGAATTTAAGATCTACTAAGAATTATTTTCGTAAAAAATCCAGTTGTGGCCAGTTGAGGGCCACGAGGGTCACAAGGGTCGAAAGGGCTACAAGACCCACAAGAGTCATTTTAAATATAGTCTCATGATGGGAGACAGTGGGAACCCTTTGTGAACCCTTTGGAAACTCAGGGTCAGGAGGGACACGAGGGCCTGGCTAATGAAAAATATCTGACGCATTCACTTTGTATTTTTTAAAATCAATTTCGTACTTCCATTCAACTTTCGTTCCACCAACACCCGCAGAGCATTCAACAACAGCCTGGGCACTTTGATTAGAACACCCAAATAAAACTAAATCTCCAAACGACTGTTCATTGAATTCTAAACCTCGAACATTAAATTTTTAAACTCGGTTGGCTGTACCCCCTATTTCATCACCACAAAACCAACAAATTTTCCTCATTCTCTTGAAAATTTTGAATTTAAGATCTACTAAGAATTATTTTTGTAAAAAATCCAGTTGTGGCCAGTTGAGGGCCACGAGGGTCACAAGGGTCGAAAGGGCTACAAGACCCACAAGAGTCATTTTAAATATAGTCTCATGATGGGAGACAGTGGGAACCCTTTGTGAACCCTTTGGAAACTCAGGGTCAGGAGGGACACGAGGGCCTGGCTAATGAAAAATATCTGACGCATTCACTTTCTATTTTTTAAAATCAATTTCGTACTTCCATTCAACTTTCGTTCCACCAACACCCGCAGAGCATTCAACAACAGCCTGGGCACTTTGATTAGAACACCCAAATAAAACTAAATCCCCAAACGACTGTTCATTGAATTCTAAACCTCGAACATTAAATTTTTAAACTCGGTTGGCTGTACCCCCTATTTCATCACCACAAAACCAACAAATTTTCCTCATTCTCTTGAAAATTTTGAACTTAAGATCTACTAATAATTATTTTCGTAAAAAATCCAGTTGAACTTCTGAGGTCTCTGGGCAATGAAAAATATCTCGCATTTACCTCGAATCCTGCTTATCAATTTCGTGCTTCCATTCAACTTTCATTCCACTAACAGCCGCAGAGCGTTCAATAACATCAGCGGCAGCAGACTGCGGATACTGCACTAAAACTAAATCTCCAAACGGCTTTTCATTGTCAAGTCTCGGCCTTTTGCTGGGCCTCTGTCCAGTGTCTTCAGTCGGTGGTTCTAGGGAGTGGGAGGTGGTAGACCCAGTGGATGGAGAGTGCTGGGGGCCTCTGAGTCCTTAAAAATCACAGATTATCAAACTCTCAGCGTGCAATGAACTCGGGTTGATGTGTCTACTCACAATTTCTCGATGTACCTTTGATCTTCGAGCTGGCAGCGTCAGACGCTTTTACAAAAGTCCTTTGTAGTTTTGTTTTCTGTCTTGCTCGGTAATCCCTAGCAACATCCGCGGATAATTCTGCTATCAGATTCATCGTTTCTTTTGGATATCTGTTTGAAAAAAAATGCAAGAATATTTATCAAGTATTTTTTAGGATTTCCTTGAAGATTTTATATTTTTCCAATTCTCAAAATTTTTTTTTCTAGTTTATTTTGTCTCGAGAATTTTCCAGGATTCATTAAGCATCAACTAATAATCAGGATTAATTTTCTCAAGAATTAATGATTAGTTATCAAGTATTTTTAGGATTTATCGTCGAAGATTAATATTCTCTCAATTTTCAAAGATTTTTTATCGAGAATTTTTCAGGATTTATTAAGGATTTTTTAAATTAAATAATCACTTCGAAATTCTCAGGATTAATTTTCTCAAGAATTAATGATTAAGTCTCAGGGATTAACCAATCATTCTTGAGGGTTATTTTATCATTGGGAATCGAGGTTTTGCAAGGATTAATTATTAATCTTCGAGAATCGACTAATTATTCCAAATGATTAACTCTCATTAATAAAGGATTTAGGATTTCAAATAATTCATTCAGGATTTATTCTTAATCCTTGAGATCACACCTTGCAGATTAATAATTAATGTTAATCAACTGATAATTTACCAATTATTATTGATTAATTATTAGTTAATTGACATTAATAATTACTCGTTAATAGATGAATACCACGAATTAATTAAGAAATGATAATTCAGTAATAATACATGATAATTAATTGATTAATAAATAATTATTAATAATAATTATTCAATTCTTTTTTATGAATAATTATTATCTTTAAATAAAAAATAATAATTATTATCTCGTTACCTGCACCCTAATAATTCCACATTCGTGAAAACCTGAGCCAAACAGACGAGTTCATCCTCCGGAAATTTGTCCTTATGTGTCTCGAGGAAATTTCTCCTCAACTCCCAGTGCTCGTCGCACTCGTGCTCAACCCTGTGCTTCTCCACATCCCAATTAGTATTCACAGACATTTCGACTATTTTCACCCACCAAAACACCACAAAACCTCAGTTTTTACTCCAAAAAACAACAACAACCCCAGTTTTTGAGGTTAGGAGCACAAAATCGCCTGTTTTAACCCCAAAATCTCTTACTTCACTCCGAAAAAACAACTCTCCCGTCAATTCCAACACGACTTCTCCCCCAGAAAACTCTTTCAACCAACAAACAATAAATTATTATCGCTTTTTCACTGAATTTTTATGTTTTAGGTCTTAGTCTGGCCGAAGCTTCAGAAATAAAAAAAACTGGTGGGGGAGCAAAAAAAATGGCGGATGCATCTAGATAAAATAAAATTATTTCCTCGTCACTTTTTGTTCGATTTATTCAGTGATTACAAATGTTGTTGCAGTTGTCATATCTTGAGGACTAAATTATCAATATTTTTTCATAATTTTTTATAAAGTCTGCATCAGCAGCTGCTGCATGTGCGTTTCCGTAGAAAACTCCAGATATTTTTTAGATTCCCAACAATTTTTTTAACTGCATTGTTTTTTTTTCGGGGCTAGGAGGAAAAACAAGAAATAACAGAAGAGTTGACATAACGGAATTATGAGTTGGTGAATAATTTGTAACGAATTGCCACATGTGTTGAATAGTGATGAAATAGTTGGAGATGGAAGGGGAGTGTTCACGTCAGTGGAGATAGAGGAAGAAGAGAGAGTGAGTTGGGGAGAAAATAAATAAATAAATAATAGTGTGTGGCGATGGTTCTGAATGACCAGTTCAGTGTGGAGAGGGCGAGGGCTGTCATCGAGGCTGGAATGCAGAGTCCACATGTCAGGTACTCGATACTGGTCCTGGAGGAGTGTCTCGAGAGGTGAGTTGAAGCCCAGGGTTGTCCAGGGCCTCAAGTGCTCGGGGGTCTGTGGACTGATGTTGATTTTTTATTTGTCTTGTCTAGGTATAATTGCGACGAGGTTATTCTGAGCTTCAACGGGGGCAAGGACTGCACAGCTGTTCTTCATCTGGCTGCATCGGTTTTCCTGCTCAGGGGGATCCACTCGCTGACGTGTCTCTACGTCACTGGGGAACCGTTCCCCGAGGTATGTGGGTCGTGATGATAATTTTTGGTTTGTAATGATTCAATTCAATTTAATTTTCGACGCTTGGAATTCTGGAATTGGTGTTAAATTCATAATTTTCAAGAGAATGACGAAAATTTGTGGGTTTTTGGTGATGAAATAGGGGGTACAGCCAACCGAGTTTTAAAATTTAATGCTCGAGGTTTAGAATTCAATGAACAGTCGTTTGGAGATTTAGTTTTATTTGGGTGTTCTAATCAAAGTGCCCAGGCTGTTGTTGAATGCTCTGCGGGTGTTGGTGGAACGAAAGTTGAATGGAAGTACGAAATTGATTTAAAAAAATAGAAAGTGAATGCGTCAGATATTTTTCATTAGCCAGGCCCTCGTGTCCCTCCTGACCCTGAGTTTCCAAAGGGTTCACAAAGGGTTCCCACTGTCTCCCATCATGAGACTATATTTAAAATGACTCTTGTGGGTCTTGTAGCCCTTTCGACCCTTGTGACCCTCGTGGCCCTCAACTGGCCACAACTGGATTTTTTACGAAAATAATTCTTAGTAGATCTTAAATTCAAAATTTTCAAGAGAATGAGGAAAATTTGTGGGTTTTTGGTGATGAAATAGGGGGTACAGCCAACCGAGTTTTAAAATTTAATGCTCGAGGTTTAGAATTCAATGAACAGTCGTTTGGGGATTTAGTTTTATTTGGGTGTTCTAATCAAAGTGCCCAGGCTGTTGTTGAATGCTCTGCGGGTGTTGGTGGAACGAAAGTTGAATGGAAGTACGAAATTGATTTAAAAAAATAGAAAGTGAATGCGTCAGATATTTTTCATTAGCCAGGCCCTCGTGTCCCTCCTGACCCTGAGTTTCCAAAGGGTTCACAAAGGGTTCCCACTGTCTCCCATCATGAGACTATATTTAAAATGACTCTTGTGGGTCTTGTAGCCCTTTCGACCCTTGTGACCCTCGTGGCCCTCAACTGGCCACAACTGGATTTTTTACGAAAATAATTCTTAGTAGATCTTAAATTCAAAATTTTCAAGAGAATGAGGAAAATTTGTGGGTTTGTGGTGATGAAATAGGGGGTACAGCCAACCGAGTTTTAAAATTTAATGCTCGAGGTTTAGAATTCAATGAACAGTCGTTTGGGGATTTAGTTTTATTTGGGTGTTCTAATCAAAGTGCCCAGGCTGTTGTTGAATGCTCTGCGGGTGTTAGTGGAACGAAAGTTGAATGGAAGTACGAAACTAATAATAATGATAAATGATAAATGCGTGAGATATTTTTCATCACCCAGGATAATTTATTGGAGTTAATTGTGAGGGGTGACGAGCCCAGTTGTTGGCCCTCGGCCCAGTTCCTGCCCGTCCAGGGGTATCTCTCGTTCACGCGAAAATAATTCTCATTAGATCTTGAATTAAAAATGATCAAGAGAAAGAGGAAAATTCCTTGGTTTTGTGGTGATGAAATAGTGAATATGGCCAATCAGCCGAGTTTCAAAATTTAATGGTCGACATGGGGGTACGCCGGAGGGGCCCAGACCTGATCTTGACGACAGTTGTTGCCCTCAACTGTCAACGTCAGCTGTCAAAGGCTCAGGCCGACTCCAGTCGCCGTTAAATTAATCAGAATTCAATTTCTCGTCCCTGACGAGTGTTTCTTGGAACATTTTTTGACTTGGTGGCCAACAGCTGCCCTCATTATCCCCTCATAACCACCTCTTCACCTTTTTATCTTCTCGCAGGTCGACGCCTTCGTGGAGAAAGCATCCCAGTACTACAACTTGAAAGTAATCCGCAAGAAGAAACCCATAAAATCCGCACTGACGGCTCTCCTGAACGAAAACAAAAAACTGAAGGCTGGCTTGATGGGCGTGCGGAGGGGCGACCCCGGCTCGGAGAAGCTCCAGCCCTTCCAGCCGACCGACCCCAGCTGGCCCCAGCTCATGAGGATCAGTCCCATCCTGGACTGGACCTACCGGAACGTCTGGGACTTCCTCCTGGAGCACGAGGTCCCCTACTGCTCTCTCTACGACAAAGGCTACACGAGTCTGGGAGAAAGGACAAAGACCTTTCCCAATCCTCTACTGCAAATCCCCAATGCTCCCTCGAGTTATCGTCCTGCTTACACTCTCATCGACGACTCCACCGAGAGAAATGGAAGAGGATAACGAAAGTTATTCTCTACTTCCCTAGTTAATTTGTCGTGATGGGAGGGAATGGAGTAGAAGAAATCAATTAAAAAATTTAATTTATTGGAGGATTCGTCTAATTTTTTAAATTCGTATTTCTACCTTTACTGATTTTATGAGTCTCGTGCTTGCTCAAACTGTTTCATGAGAAATTCAGAGTTGGAGAGAAACATAAATTATGAAGAGCATGGAAAATTCGTCTGTGAGAAATTGAATGAAATATATTTTTGGAATTATTCTGTTGAGATCCACGAGTAACTGATTAGCGAGGTATTTAATGAGTTTCTTTGTAATTTACACAATTATTTTTTGCAATTTAGTTGTAATATTATTGCAGTAGAACTGGTTGTGATTTTGTGCTTTTGTTTTATGCAAAATAAATTAGAAATGGAAGTACTTTTTATCTTCTATTTTACTATTTTAAGTGATCAGTAAAATCGTTTTAATGACCGTAAACGACTGAGAAGTTGAACTTTTGGGAAAATATTTTTGGAATTACTCTTCCGTCCCTTTACTCTGTATAATAGTTTCTACAAAATTAATAAAGGGACTAGTCTCATACTCTGGCCAAGACTTGAACGTCTTGAACAGCTGAAGTAATTGTTCGGAATTAAGTTCATCGAATGTTGAGTAAATATCGTAATCCTCGCGGATGAGGCGAGGTCCACAGCCAGGGATCCATTTTCTGTGAAAGTTCGAAGACGAAAAAAATAATAAAGAGAATTACAATTTTTTAACACTATTTTTTTTTTATCGTTATTTTACATCACTTCCACCCGGTTAGGGTATACTGCGATGATAATCAAGACTTTAAATGGTTAGATCGTACCATTCTACCCGGCCGGGATTTGAACTCGGAACCTATCGCATGTGAGGTATGAACTTACCCACTGCGCCAAGTCACCGGGCTATTAAAAAAAAAAAAAAAAAAAAAAAAAAAAAAAA